TTTCCTGAACCTGGAGGCTTTTCAGACAATCACTCATGTCCTGGTTTCCTCATGTTTGGATTACTGTAATGTACTCTACATGGGGCTACCCTTGAAAACGATCCAGAAGTTACAGCTGGTCCAAAATGCAGAAGCACAGGCAGTGATGGGAGCAATTTGTTATGCTCACATGACCCTGCTGCTCTGCAAGGTACACTGGTTACTGGTTGACTTCCAGGCGCAATTCAAGATACTGATTATCCCTTTTAAGGCCTGGCTATATGAGGGAACACTTTTATAGAACATCCAAATACAACATTAAAACGGTCCTTTCTCAGCCAGTTTTTTACCCTGGTTTATAACAATGTTTGAAAAATAAAATAAAATAAAATTCATTGGAAAATTAGCTGGCCCAGTGTGGCAAAATTGAAGCTTTAAGCCATCCTCATTTTGGCATCCTTCAGATGTGGTGGACTACAGCTAACTGGCTGTGGATAACAGAAACTGTACTCCAGAACTTCTGGAAAGCACCTTTTTGGAAGAGACTGCTTTAAAGCTTATTGTTCCTTTAATTAAAAACTTTCCCCTTACAGCTTCTTTTCCTTTGTTTCTAATTCAGCACAACTGGAGCTTCAGGAATTAATTCTTCTGTAACTGAAATAATCCATTTTATTATGGGGAGGAGGGGATTTAAGTAACAGTTTTACCTAATTGTGTTTTTCTTTTCTTTCTTTTAGAGTGAAGTAGTGGTAATTTTTCTATTTAAAAAAAAGAAATTACCAATTAACTTCCTCTATATGCTACATACAAATATTAAGTGCAATTCATCAAACCTATGAACAAGGAAGCAAAAGGAATGGCAGAACCTGAAAGAAGGAAGCTACTAATTAATATTGCTGGGGATCTTTCATTAATAGAATTTACTCATGACAAATTTATGTCAAAGGATTTAGACCATGAGGAAAGGCATTCATGAATTCTAAAGTGTTTATACAGCACGGAAAAAGCACTTATTTATAAGTAAATATAAACACATTATACACATTTCACTTCCACCAATGAACATACAAATCCTAGTATGGAAACGACCTTTAATGTGGTTTAGGGAAAGGACTTTAGGCCTTCAAAATAACTTATTATTTAAGTGTAATATGAAAAAGGTAGAAAAGTCAAAAAGAAAAATGAACAGCACAATTCTGTGCATGTTTGCTTGGATAATTACACATAGGAAGAAAAGAGAAGAAAGGGCAAGTAAAGTATAGTGACTTCATACTGCACTCATATTTTATGCAGGAAAAGATTTCAAGTTGCTATGTAGATGATTTTTTAAGCAATCTGCAGGAAAAGTAAAATACATTTTATAGGTTTTTCCAGCATTTTGTCCACCTCAAAATATATCTTCAATTTCATTACTAAATTCAACAATACCAATGGTAATAATTACTATATCATTATTAGAAAACAAACACAAAGCAGCACCCCTAAAAATATATATAAAGCACTGTAGAAAATACACAAATGCAGATATAACATGCAATTATGTTTTATGTCAGATATGCAGGAAAAACCCTAGGTAAAATAAATTTTAAAATCCAGCATTAATATTATAGGAATTCAATTCCCTATCCAATGTTTGCTGGAGTCCCAGGGACTAGCCAGTTAGGCTTTCTTTTATTTGGAGCAATGCAATTGTTATACACATTGTCTGCAATTTGAGACACACTTCAATGGGCATTTCCACAGAATGCAATAGTTTATAACTGGCAGTTCTGACCATGTATAATATGTAACCTTAGGTCAGTTAAAATTAAACAATTTTGGTTTATTTGAGACAAGTGATTGAAGGAATGTTCAGGGGAAATCATATCTCTCTACACTCCCATAATCCCCCTTCGCTATAGTATTCTCTAAGGAGAAAAGCTTGCTCTCCAATTTATCTCTGTAGCTCACAAAGTAAATTAAAATTCCCAACTGGAAAAAAAAACCCAAGAAATTATAGATGAACTCTCAGACAATATAAAGTACAGCACTACCTAAGCCTATACAATCTTATAAGCCCATATAAAAGTTGAAAAAACAACTCGACATAAACATTCTTTGTCACCAGTGGATAAAACAGACAATTTCATCAAATATCAATCTTGCAATCAAGCTCAAAACAAGACTTTTATGGGCTTCTTGATTTATACTTTAAATATATTTAAGGCATTGCTATTACTTTTTAAGGCCCTAGAGATAACCACCATTGTGGAATATGTTAAGATATTCCCTATGAATTATTAGTCAACTGAAAACCACCTTGTTCTCTACCTGAAACTACATTGACTGTATTGTCTATGTTTTAAACAGCAGATCAAAAAGCCAAACACACAAATATTCTAGCATATGAATGCTACTACAATTAGCAGCTTAAAGACCCATATAAGTGCAGTTAATACAAAATAAATATTGAAGATCTACTAGTCATGAATAAGTATTTTAATGCTTTAGAACTTCTATTGTCAGTACTATATCCTGTTAAACGTTATAAATTCAGCATGTCAATATATGAAGGGAACTCACAAGGGGTATTGCATATGACCACTAGTGCCTCCAGTTAAAGTTGGGCAAGATTCTTGTATTGTAGCACTATCTAAATATTTTTTTAAACATTAAGCTCTATGTAAGTAAAATTGCAACAGATATTTCTCAGTTTAATCTGACTGAAAAATATATCACCAAAATAATGGAGAAGACCATTAAGTGTCACTTAGAAAGTGTAACTTTTTGTGAACATAAGACTTTGCTGCTTTTATCACATGAAGTTTTCATGGTTTTTCATGAAAACTCAAACAGATGAGTTTTGGACCGAAGATGCTATGAAGAAAATGCTACATTTAAACTCTGTCCTTAAACTGTTTAAAGCACAGGATCCTTCGTCTTGAAATGCACTGTTGCAGAGATCCAGAGCAATGAAATACTAACTCAGTTATTATTATAGCTTGATATGTTCCACAACAATTAAAAAACTTGTGGCTTTCCTGACAGAAGAAAATTGGTAGTTTTCTGAATAATTTCTGTACATGTACTTTTTTCCCTTCTTTATTCCCCGAGCCTTCCAAAAATTAATTGCCAGATTACAACTATAGCATGTGTTGATTTGCTGTGGTTGGACATATATTTTGAAATGCACATTCCACTCTTGAGAGTAACCAATGCAGCTGTCAGAAATTTGCAGCCTCTGTTTTCCAGCATTGCAGATTACGTTGTACAAGACATTGATCATTCAGCCACTCACTGTTTCTCTTTCCATGAGATAATAAATATAAAAAAAGTTAAAAAAATAATTACCATATTCATGTCAGAAATTAAACTTGGTTGCACTTTTAAGCCTGAATAAAAAGTTTTCTACTTTTGATTTTTCAAGGAAGAAAACGAAATTATTTTTATTTGCTAAGCAGCTGGCAACTAGTGTTTCAACCATCCAGGTCTGAATTTACTTAATTTTTCTGTTAATACCAGTAAGTAAAGATGGGTATGAAACAATCATACTGTACATGTCTTATATTCTAAGAGCTTCTTTTCTGATTGCCAAGTTCTCTTGTGATTTTTATACTCGTTTGATGCTCAACAATGATTTATCATTACATCATAAAATTGCAAATTAGCTTCAAAGCAAGCAAATATTTCTCAAACATAATTCAGGAATTTACAAACCAGCAAATAAAATGCTGGGAAATGCTAGGAAACAGGTTTGGAGGTCTCTAAATTATGTTCCAAAGTTCTTTCCATAACCAAACAGCTCAGTTCAGAATATGTGGACTGGATCTTATCCATTTATTTAATTTTATTTCATTATAAGTCCCTGCTTTTCTCCTAAGCCTATATGTGGTTCTCATATAATTTGCTGCATTAAATATATTGGAATGATACCCTGGGTTTGATATGACACCAAATATTTTTAATACTTGAGGAGAAAAAGACTCGAATGGCTTCCAAACTTCAGAGGTGTCATATTTTCCAAACTTCTCACAGAGGCCGGATCTAGGACAGACTATTCTCAAGTCAGGTTCAGTAGAAGCACTATTGCTTCTAAACATGCTGCTATCCACTCCAATCTTGAAAGCAAACAAAAGCACTCTATTGGGAAGGAGGGGAAGCAGGTACTTTAACACTGGAATGTTAGGAAAAACTTTACAATAAGTACAGTATGACAGTGAAATCAGTTACACAGGCAAGTGGAATTATTTTCAGATCAGGGTAAGTAATTCAGAATTAATACCAACTCAAAATGTTCCAGTCATGGGTTGTTTTGTCTTAAGCTTGAAAGAAAACGATTTTTCTGTTTTCTGTATATTCCTAAACTGGGGAAATCTACACCAGCCCTTGGATTACAAAACAGAAACAGACCTGCAACTGTAAACATTTGCACCAATAAATCTGCTGAACATCTTTGCAAAACTGTAGCAAGGTTGCGATATTACCACCTACTCCTGAGCATGTGGGACTTGAGTGAATAAATACAACTGTGTGAAGCAATGAGTTCATAAAAGTTGAAACAAACACCCTCCCCCCTTTTCAAGAAGGAAGTCATTCATTTTAACATACAGTGGTATAATCCCATTAAAGACTAATAGAAAAAGAAATTATACAGGCTGCTGTATTGTGAGAATTAAATACAAATTAGGAGCAAATGCTGCCTAGCTTAAAAAAAAACATTGTACAATTTCCTTAATACTTGCACAATTTAGATGAACAATTTTCATTCATTCACAGAGTTTATTCTAAATATAAAACAAGGCACCCCTTAAGCATTTTTCGTAACAAATTAAACATTTACGTTTTTTAGTGTGTAGGGAGGCTTAGCATTCACGCAGCTTCAAAACCGAAGTACAGCCTCAAGGGAAGCCTCTCCGCTGACAAATTAATACCTTAGAGAATAGGCCTGAATGGTGGCAATGAACTCATTTGTTCCCACAGTAATGAAGAATGACTCTTTCTTTACCACATCTGTGACTGTTGCTATGGTGACCCAGACTTACCTCATTGCTTCTCGAAGGGCTCCACGCTCACTGAGAGTCGTGTGCTTGATGTCATCAAAATTATGTTCCAGTTTCTCACAGTTCTGTAATAATAATAGTAATAATAATAACAATAAAGAAATATAATGTGAACAGGAGACTCTGCATAAAAAGTAGCATTTCCAAGTTGGGCAAATCCCCCATTCTAGTGGGCTAAATTGCCTGCATTCATTCTCAGTGCAAACATAGCTGATTATATTGATTACATATTCACACAAATTACTCATTTTTGCTTTTAATTGCATAGCAGTAATTAAAAATGACACTGTGAACTCAGCAACAAAGTACAGGTGAAATTTGTATGGTTGCCATGGTAATCCTCTTATCAACATTTTATGGGGGAGATAAAAATTTCTTCCTAATGTGTGTGTTTTTCTATATGTAAAACAGTGAAAGGAGCACCATCAAATAGTTTATTTATTTTTATTTATTTTATTAAATTTATATGCCACTCATTTCACTGTATAAGTGACTCTAAGCGGCTCACAAATAAAAAACAATAAACATCTTACAAAAATATACAAAGTTGAAAGATGGAAAGAGTGTCCTCAAGCCACCAACCACTTCCAGTGCTGCAAACCCTCACTGGATCCTCATGCTAGTTGGCAGAGCCGGGTCTTAAGGCTCTTCCAGAAGGCCAGAAGAGTGGGGGCTAATCTCACCTCAGGGGCCAAGATGTTCCACAAGGTGGGGGCGATGGCAGAAAAGATCCTGCCTAGATCCTGCCAGTAGGAATTCTTTAACTGACGGGGTCCGTAACATGCCTTCCTGCTGGACAGAGTGGGACAGGCCGATGTAACCAAGGCAAGCCAGTTCCTCGGGTGACCTGGGCCCATGCCATGAAGGGCTTAAGGTCATAACCAACACCTTGAATTGGACCCGGAAGCAAACCAGCACCCAATGCAGCCCATGCAGCAGAGGTATTATAGCTGCAGTCCTAGAGGCACCTATAACTGCCTGCACACCAACTGCAGCTTCTCGATACTTACTGCTACTAAGGTTACATATATTTACTATACGCAAAAGAAATATACATATAATCAGCCATGCTTTAAAATCATAAGAACATTTATAGAAGTAGGTTAAGGAATCCAAACTCCAACAATTCTTATAGTATATATGAAAGCCCATTTGTTAAAGCACTGTCACCAACTAACTGTAAAACAGAAAGAAAACTTGCTTCAAGTTCAACTACTGATGAGGGAAGAAAAAAAATATTCTATCTGTATTATTCAAGGGGAACAGGTAATAAAATCAAAGTTTTCTTTCAGGAGATTCTGGAGTTTAATTTTATGGAGCCATTTTTTCCTGATATCAAATTAAGTGCTAGGCATTTAATAACTTCAACTACACTGCAAAATTATTGCTAGAAATATAAAAAAATCCCTTCTCATCCCATGGGTGGTATGTGTCTTCCTCAATTTTGGATCCTCTACCAGAGGCCTGGTAGTTTGAGGGTTTTATTTATTTATTTATTTTATTTTATTTTATTTATTAAATTTCTCCCCCACCCATCTCCCCCCAATGGGGGAACTCTGGGCGACTCACACAAAATATTAAAACCATAAATATATACCTCTACCAGAGGCCTGGTAGTTTGAGGGTTTTATTTATTTATTTATTTTATTTTATTTTATTTATTAAATTTCTCCCCCACCCATCTCCCCCCAATGGGGGAACTCTGGGCGACTCACACAAAATATTAAAACCATAAATATATATAAATACATAAAACCAAAGTCTGAGTTATGGTGGTAGTAAGGATTGTCATGAGGGCTCTATTGGCATCTTCTAGCATACTATCTGATGGTTCTTCTCCACTGAGCCTTGGTAATCAGTCTTGAGGGTTGACAGTAGCTAGTTTATCCATGATCTTCTGCCTCATATCAGCTGCTGTGCTGTGTAATGGAGGGGGTGGCAGTGACATTCCAACTTCAGGTATTGGATGCACATCCAGTTGTTCTTCTGGGTCTTCTTGAGTCTGGGATGTAATGTGTAGTTTGTCTATCTCAAATTGTGAGAGCAGCTTCCTCTTCACTATGTTGAAGCATTGAGTAATTAGCTGTTTCTCAGTTAGTGTGGATGTAAGTCTTCTGTCTATCCATAGTTCCCTCATACGTTTCATAAATCCCCTCTCATTAGGGTCATGTTGTAGTAGCATTCCATCAATTCCAGGTTCTCTTGTCTCATCCATATATGGTTTGCTCCAGTAGCCCACTTATCGTCAGATACTCCTGGTTCCCCAACATCTGACATGGACCTTGTTAATCTGGGTAATGTCCAAGCCGGCATGACTCTCTTAGTTCATGTCACTCTCATATTTGAGGTAGGCAGGTGAAGTGTTAGGGGGTCTTTGCCCAAGGACTGCTACTGGTAAAGTAGGTACCACCAGGATTCGAACCCGGTGTGTGTGTGTGTGTTTGTGTGTGTGTGTCTGTGTATTCATTCATTCATTAATTCATTCTAGAGGATCAAATCTGTCTTTCTTGTCTAGAACATATATGCTCAGAATGTTTGCAATCTGGACCTTTACAGTAAACCCGCAAAAAATTGCTGCATCTCCCTTGATTATTATATTTTACTATAGCTAGAGCTAGAAATTATAGTTAACATTTCAAATACATTAAAGCCCTACAAAGTTTCCACAAGTATTATCTATAAATGGGCTGCTTGAAACTAATAAAATATTTACTAGCCATGCCATATTTGCAAGATTAGTCTGAGTGATAGCAGCAATATCCAGGTTATCTAATGGGTTTGGAGTTATTGCCATATCACATCTGAAGACTTGTGGAGAGTTTGGACATATCTATCATTCCACAGCCATACTTAGGACATTGTGACCTGTTTAGTAGTTCTCAGAGGCACAACTTTGTGATAAATCTCTGTGGTGGCTTATACAGCTGTTTTTCCAAACAACTGCAATTATTCAAAACCATAACAGTTACAGAACCAAACCATGAAAGCACCTATTCTCATAGCCTCTTTCCCCCATCCTCAAACTGAAATATAAGTATAGTCCAGTCTTCTGGAAACAAGCAAAACAGCACAAATTTAAGGAGCCAAATTTAAGATGATTTCTCTCTTCCCAATAATCTCCCTAGTGCTTTTTTAAAAAATAAATTCTGATAAATTCTCTCTTTTCACCATGGTTCCTGTTCTGGTTTCTAGTTTGGTATTCTGTAGCTATATCATCTTTATATTCTTGGTGTTTTCCATTCTAACCAAGCACTACTTAAGAAGGATAAAAGGTGCATTTCAAGATTCCCTTTGATTGAGTTAGCTATGGGCTCCAATCATCTACAAGACAAGATAAATTGTTAGTGCAGAAATGACCTGAGAATGTACACATTGTAGCATTTTGTAGTCCTGTAATTTGAATTTAACACTTTAATATGCCTCTGTTTTCAAAGAAGCCTTATTCACCCAGAACAGCTAGGAGACGTCTCTAGTCCCTCAGGAACCAGACCAATCTTTTCATTTTCTTTCTGAACGGGAACTGGGCCAGGTGAGATCACGTTCAGGAAAATCACCTCTTTACTTCCTCTGGAAATTTCAGTGGGCATGGTATAGGTATATCTCTCAATTAACGTGTAAAACAGACTGGAAAGTTTGGCCTAATCCATATATATGGTATCCGTATATTCTATGAAGTAACTGGGCCATTTTCTGAATAACCTTCCAAATGTATACCTGCACTATTAAATCACTACGCAGAACAAGGAACACTACAAAAGTTACTTTCACAGACTAGTTTTAAATAATACTTCAGCTGAAGTATTATTCAAAAAACAGAGTAAAGAATAATAGAATAAAACAAAGCCAAACTATAATACAGCCCACATTGAATCATGTCTCAAATGCCCTCCAGAAGACCTCAATTTTGAGCTGTTTCCAGAAGGCAGTCAGGATGGGAGCCAACCAAATGTCTACTGGAAGGCTGTTCTAAAGGACTGGCTCTGTCACCAAAAATACAGCACCACCAAGCTTCATCCCCTCTCATCTCTCTAAAGTGGGGAACCATTAGTTTTTCCCAGGTAGGTCAAATTGGCTGGGCCAATTCAAAGAGAGAATGTGGTCCTGCAAATAATTTGGCACCAAGCTATGTAAGGTTTTACAGGTTAGCACCAGCACTTTAAATTGTGCCCAGAACCTATTAGTTATCAGTATAGGGGCTGCTGCACTGGTGTAAAGTGCTGCCATTGGCAAACAATGGTTGGCACACGGGCCACTGCAATCTGAACCAACTGCAGTTTCTGAGTGGTCTTCAAAGGCAGCCCCATGTAAAACATGTTGTAGTAGCCTAAACAGATGATGATGAGGGCATGAGTCACTGAAATAAGCTCCTCTCTCTCCACAACAGACACACCACAAAGCCGGGCAAAGACCCCACTGGTTCTGGCCTCCACAAGTAGAGCCACAAGTGCAAAAGGACCCCCAAGTCAGTAGTAGTTTTACTCCATGAAGAGACACTGCTGAAGCAGACAGAGAACCCTAATGAATAAAACAATAACTCCATCTTCCTAGAGTTCAATTTAAGCCTATTCTATCCCATCAAGACCCTCATAGCCTCCAGGCAGCAGGCAGGACATCAACAACATCACCAATCTGGCCTGGGTAGTGATATAACATTGGGTATCATCAACATATTAGTGATAGTGAATCCCAAACTGTCAAATGACCTCTTCCAGTGGCTTCATGTAAATGTTAAATAGGAGAGTGGAGAGGACCAACCCTGAGGCACCAACAAGGGAGCAGCCACTGGTCCAACCTGTCCTCCCCCACCACCACTGATAGGAACCCTGTGCTGAGGAAGAAGCAGAACCATTCATCCCTTATAGGTGGTCTAGAAGGATGCTGTGGTTGATTATATTGAAGTCTTCTGAGAAGTCTAAAGGAACAAGGGTGGGTGCACTACCTTACCTAGATCCCTGCAAAGGTCATCTATCACAGGAACCAAAAAGGGAAGACTGGAGACCAGCTAATAGTTGTCTAACACCTCTGGACCCAGGGAGGGCCTCTTAAGGAGGAGGTACATTATAGC